AAAGACAAGCCTCAATTATATGTTGTCTACAGCAAATCAACATTAAATATGAAGACTCAGATAAAGTAAAAGAAAGGGATGAAGAAAGATACAACATACTACCACTGATCGAAAGAAAGTTGGATTAGCTATATTAATCTCAAACAAAGCAACTTCAGACCAAGGAATATTATCAGGGTAAAGGTGAGCATTACATAATAATAAAGGGATCAATTCTCCAAGAAGACCCAACAATCCTAAATGTGTGTGCACCTAACACAAGATGTCACAATACATGATGAAAATTGATAGAACTGAAAGGAAAAATAGACACTTTTATAGTTGGAGAATTCAACATCTCTCAGCAATTGATTCACAACTCAGGCAGCAAATCAGAATACTGATGATCTGTGCATAGCTATTAACCAATTTGATCTAATTGACATTTACAGAAAATTTCATCCAGCTAGGAAAATACACATTCTTCTCAAGCTCACATGAGATTTTCAGCAAGATAGACTACATTCTAGGTCATGAGATACACCTTAATAAGGTTCCAAGAATAGAAATCACACAAAGGATATTCTAATGCCATAATAGAATCAAACTAAAAGCCAATAATTGAAACATACCTAGAAAATATCAAGATATTCAGAAATTTGTTAATGCATTACTAAATAACACATGTGTTTAAGAAGAGATCCCAAGAGAATTAGAAAAAGATTTTGAACTTAATGCAAATAAAAATACAACCTATCAAAAAATTTAAGATGTAGCAAAAGTAATACTTAGAGGGAAAGTTATAGCATTAAATGCATATTTTTGAAAAGAAGAAAGATCTATAGTCTAAGCTTCTACTTTAGGAAAGTAGAGAAAAAGAGCAATGTAAGTCTACAGTGAGTAGAAAAAATAAAAAAATAATAAAAATAAGAGTAGAAATCAATTTAAGGGAAAAATGATGAAAAAAAAATCAATGAAATCAAAAGCTTGTTATTTGAAAAGAACAGTAAAATGGATAAATTTCTAGCCAGAAACAAGAATAAACAGAGAAGACAGCCTTTGCAATGTGAAACCAAGGTTCTCACAGTTGTGGAAATTTACAACTAAGCAAGCAGAAGAGTCTAGAATAATTCATGTAGAAATGGATTAGAGACGGAGACATCAGTATTAACTCACATTTAACTTAATTAGGTATAGATGATTACATATAGAAGTTTTATGGGTATATGTATATACATGGATTATGTACACACATATATTTTTTTCCTCTATCTGTTGAGAGGGCCTAGAAGCAAAACAATCCACTAGTAATGAACATATACGCTATCCAGATCCTAAAACCATTCTTATTCCAGGTCTAGGGCAGGAAATACAAAAGATGAGCTTATAACGTTTTGTAGTGCCAGAAAGTTAAAAAGTGCCAAACTCTTTCTCTCTAGCAAGTTTGTGGTAGATAAAAATTTAAAAAAAGAAAAAAGGAAAAAGATGATAGTATGTAAGAAAGAGCTCATGCACACATGCGTGCGTGCGCACACACACACACACACACACACACATACACACACACCCACGATGTAGTATGTCAAAGAGACACAGAAGGCAACTTAAAGAGCTTTTATTGGCCGAAGCTAGGTAGAATGATTCCAAATAATTTATGTAGATAGTTCACCTTCAAGGACATAGAGTATAACTTCTCATTTCTTGTGCAATATGCCTAGTGACTGTCTTTCAAAAAATAAATATGGAAAGAGGAAAACAGTAACTTTACAGGGGAGAAACCTGACAAACACTACCACGGGCAGGTGTTCAGGTTAATGTCAACAGAGATAAGCCACACTGATAGTGTGTTTTCGTGACATAATTTGGCAAGAGTGCTGTTTTACCTCTGTGGTTTCCCTCCCGCAAATCCCTAACCCCAGTGTAATCATAAGAGAAACACCAGGCAGGGCGCGGTGGCTCACGCCTGTAATCCCAGCACTTTGGGAGGCCGAGGCAGGTGGATCACGAGGTCAAGAGATGGAGACCATCCTGGCCAACATGGTGAAACTCCGTCTCTACTAAAATACAAAAATTAGACGGGCGTTTGGCATGCGCTTGTAGTACCAGCTACTTGGGACGCTGAGGCAGAAGAATCACTTGAACCCAGGAGGCGGAGGTTGCAGTGAGCCGACACTGCGCCACTGTGCTCCAGCCTGGCGACAGAGCAAGACTCAGTCTCAAAAAAAAGAAAAAAGAAAGAAAGAAAAAAGAAAAACACCAGACAAATCCCACTTGAAAAAAAAGCCTACAATATACTTGATTAGTATTCTTAGAAAATTTAACCATAATCAAAAGCAAGAAAAGTTTGAGAAATTGTGACAGTCAAGAGGAGCCTAAGATGTGCCAGCTAAATGTGATGTGGCGTCCTGGATGAGACCATGAAACCAAAAAGAAAAATAACATTAGTTAAAAACTTAAAAAAATTTAAAATAAAGGCATACTTAGTTAATAATAATATATCAATATTGGTTCATTGATTATAAATCCATGTATCATACTAATTTAAGACATTAATAATAGAGAAAGTGGGTATAGACAGATCTCTACAATTTTGTCTATATTGAAAACTATTAAAAAATTAAAAATATATTTTGTTGTTGGATTAAAAGATATTTAGTATGCCCACTCCAACTCTGAGATTCAGTGATTCTAAAATAAGATATTTATGATAATGTGCAAAGGGACAAATATATCCGCAGGATAACATAAGATTTATATATATATATATATATATATATATATATATATATTACATTTATATAGAGAGAGAGAGAGAGAGAGAGAGAGAGAGAGATACCAGAAATATAACCACATATGCATGGTTGGGTGTATATATCTATGTATAGTAACATCATTGTGTAAGAATATACAACACAGTGCTAACAGTGGTCATCTCTGGATGATATGATTTTGAACAGTTTTTATTTTCTTCATTTTATTTGACTGCATTTTCCGAATAATTGAGTGAGGAGACACAATTATTTTTGTAAAATAAGAAGAAGTTAATAAAATTTTAACGTTTAAATTTAATGAACATTCATGATGAGAAATACCTGTCTGATCTCTCTGCTCCTCCTCCAGGCTCAACCAATACCCTGTACTAACTTCAATCATTATACCTTCCACTAATCTATATTATTTCTACTGTATATAGACTTACATCATTTATCTGTCTTACTTCCTGGATTATAATCTTCTTGAGAACAAGAAATATCTCATTTTGCATTGCTACCATTTTGTGTTGAACCTGGCATCTTGAGAATTTGGGGCACCTGCAAATCACACTGCAGGATACAACCTTGGACGAGTCACTGCCTCAGTTTTCCCTTATGTACAATGAGAAATTTGGTCTACTGTCATCTCTGGGGATTTTTCTAGATCTAAGATTCAAGATCCTTTGCCTGTTACAACGAATTAGGCAAACATCACAAAATAGGAATCTCAGGGAGATTATGTGACTTGCCCAACTTATTTTGCATCTTCTGGAATCTGATAGAAGATTGAGATTCAGGAAATGTCTGCTCTGTGGGAATTGGTTTAGAAGACTTTTTCTGTAGGTTTTACATAATTTATTTGCTGTTAAATTTGTCCTTGCAAATTTACAAAGACCTTAACATATGAGATTGGCTAAAATACAGAAGAATAAAATACAAGGATAATTATTTCCTAAGACCTTGATGGAATTGTTTTTTTTTACACTTTTCTACAATACGCAGAAAATACCAATGTGATAAAGTGAGTATATTGCTATATGTGTTTCATTCTAATTATGCCACTTTTCCCTTGGACCTGAGATTAAGGAAGAATGATGAAAAAGCACAATTCATGGTTTATGCACTTCAAGGTCAAACTCAAAGGGCCTTCCAATATCATTGATTCTGCCATCTCTCACTCAGCAACATTCTCCAGCTGTCCATTTCCTATTCCCCAAGGACACTAATCACTTGAAACATCAAGTTCACCTAGAAGAGCCTATTATAGCTTATATGTGTTTCCTTTTGCTGCTGTAACAAATTATCACAAACCTAGTAGCTTTAGGCAACACATATTTATTATCTTATAGTTCTGGAAGTCAGAAGTCTAAAAAGTAGTCTCGCTGGGCTAAAACGTAAGTGTCAGTAGGCCTGCATTCCTTTCTGGAAGCTCTAGGGGAAATTCATCTCCCTGCCTTTCAGAGGCTGTCACCATTCCTTGGCTCGTGGCTTCATCATCTTCAAAGCCAGCAGTGTAGCATCTTCAACTCCCATGACTCTGCCCCTCTGCTCCCATTATCAAGGCTCCCCTTCTGGCCCTGACTCTTTTGCTTCTCTCTTATCAGGACCCTTTTTATGACATTGGCCCCACCCAAAAAACCCAGTATAATCTTTCCTTCTCAAGATCCTCAACTTAATCACATATACAAAGTCCCTTTTGACAGGCACAGGAACATCTTGACATCTTTGCTGGGGGGAGGAACTATTCTATCCACCACACATCCATCTTTCTCCCATCACCCAGCACAGTGGTCACCTGTTCTGCTGAGCTCCAGTATCACAGCAGCCTCTGAGGAAGGCATCTCTGGTACCAGTCACATTTTGTCACAGAGAAGTCACGACTTTGGTGCTTCTATAAATACTCCTCTTTAGAAAGTGCAAATGGACACATACGCTTCAATTATGGCTATCTAAGCATGTAATACTTTGTATTCAGACAAAATATTTTTTCTGAAGTATATAAGCTTTGGCAAGACAGACTTAGATTCAAATCTGGGTGCTGCCAACTATTATCTGTGTCTCTTAGAGCAAGCTGTTTCTCTTTCTGAGCTACGCCATCTCTAACTCAGTCACATTCCCTACCGCCAATCCTTGAGATTTCTCAGTGTGAGATTTGAGGGATAACCAGGGTGTCTTAAATTATACAGTGAGAGTCATAATTGAATTTCATAGACTCAGTAGAAATAAATAATTAATAAACAGATAAGATTGTATGATTTAGTTGGGATTTGTATAGAGTCTAAGGTTTGACATATTAGTTCTCATCTCTGAAAATATTTTCCATGTTTATTTCCCAGAACCAATAATACACACACACACACACACACACACACACACACAGACAAAGCAACCTTCAGCAAATGTCCAGTAAGACACCCAGGTGATTCAGTATTACGCACATTTTAAAATACTGTGTTTTACAAAGAGGGTTTATTATTAATCTTCTAGCCTTACTCTCTTTCCTTTCCTCACCCAATCCTATGTGCCTCTGTGATTCACTGAAATGCGTTCAAATTGTTGTACATTACCCATGGTTCCCTTCTCTTCTTCTTTCTTGTTAATACTGTATTTAATTTGCCGTAAGGTCAATGTTTAGTTAATAACATAGTATTTTGTTGGCAAAAAACTATTATGAATGATTCAAATATATAGCCTATTTCTTCTCCTAACACAATAGTTTTATCATCTCATAACGTGAAATAGAAGCTCATCAACCCCCTCAAAACTTCACAACATTTTTGGGATCTGCTTCTTCCCTGGTTCCTTTATTCTCTTGTTTTCATTCTCTCTTCACATTCCCTTCTTCCATCATTATTTCTCTAGATAAGAAATGTATCATTTTGGCTCACTGCAAACATTTTAAACAATACAATGTGTGTAAACTTGAGTGAAAATTCATATCTCCACATTTTCAGTCTTACAATCATCACATCAACTTGTTGCCAATCCTTGTCCTCTGGGATTTTTCACATATTAGACATCATGCTCTGTCCAAGTAGATATATTTGACTTATTTTCAGTGGCCACATAGTAGTCCATTGCATGGACATACCACAACTTGTTTCTCTCTGGTTTTTTTTTTACCACTGCTGTAGAAAGCAGAGCATTTTCCGCATTGCCTTTATAAGTTCATGTATTTTTTTAGTGGAGAAATAGTGGAAAGGAATGAAAAAGTATTCCTATAACTTTTTAAAAAAAAAAAAAACAAAACTTTTCCTCTAAATTCTCCCACTTCTTGATCTCTTGCCTTAGAGGAGTTAGGAAAATGGCCTGGTAAAGTTATGAGTTAGCTATATATTATCCAACAAGAATAGATAATTACTAAATCACCACTTTCCTCTCTCCTGTCAATTCCCCAATGATGGTTATTGAAATGGGCCAGGCTCTCAGGTCTGAACCAGGAGAAGTGACAGGGAGCTGTGAATGACCTAATAAAGATACCTCCTAAAAACTCAATTGCTTTTATTTTATATATATTATATAAAATAATAACCTTTATATATTACATATAATACATGTATATAATATATATAAAGTAATTTATGCATCTGTCCATTTGTGTACATATATGTGCAAATATGCTATCTTGTCTGGTTGGAACATTCAATTTCATTAGTATTTAACACATCTTATTAATTAACAAGGTATATCTGTTAAAGGTGAGTTACCAACATACTTTTCTGATATGTGGCATTCTGCAAATTATATTGGAATGATATTCTCACACAAAAATTACTAGCTGAAAACTAGAAATGGAGCAACACCGTGCTTATAAGCAGTTCTTACCGCCTGGACATTCTTTCTCTTTCATTCCCTGGAATTGGCTAGCTCTCAAAACCACGATATCCATTTGTCAATTCTTAGCCCCCACAACTCCAGACTAGCTTTCTTCTCCTCTACTGACACCTAGGAAATGGCCAATAGTCAATATTCCTTTTTACGTTTCAACTCCTTTATCACCAAAGGCATTTAACATTATTCTATTTGATTCTAACAACTTCAATCTGATCAATTTCACCTGCATTCAATGCAAGTCTGCTAGCTAGGTTACAATCCAGAGGGAGAGAGGAACGTAAACTTTTTGTTTGCCCTTTTTTTAGTGACCAGGGAGAACATTTAGGTTGCTAGAGCACACACATACAAAGGTTTTGGTAAACAATCTTACCTTCCTTAGTTGGAGGAGGGGACAAGCAAAGTTTATCCCTTAAAGCAGATGATCAAGAAAGCCCCCTCCAGTGGCCTCTGTCCACCTGCTACAAAAGCTTCATTCCTGAGCCATCTGAAAGTTCCTGAAGGAAACAGTGTAGCATTTGATTAATCTTACATAACATTTTCATAATCCACGCCCATTGTCCTAAAGAAAAACCTGTTTTCCTGATCCAAACAGATCAGGAAACAATCAAAACAGAAGCCTGGGACAGAATGGCACCCTCAAACAACTAAATCAGACTGAAAGAGACTTCCAGCATTCATGGACCCTGCAGGATTTTGTGAGCTCTACTTCGTGCCAGACCCCAGTCTGGGGAAAGGAGATATGAAGATGAACAAATTGCTTTTCTCTCCCCCTAAGAGCTTGCAGCATTTTAGGACCACAAATGTAAAAACAACTAGCAATTCCCATGGAGGAATATTGAGGCCACAGAGAGGGGATGAGTTATCCACAGGGAATTCGGGAAGGCTTTTCTTTCCTAGGGGATAATGCCTGTGATAAGTTTTGAAGCATGAATAGGAGCTTTCCTGATGAACAAATGTTGTATAGGGTTGGGGCTGTGGAGAGGACATTGAAGGCAAACAGAGCACCATATGTCAGAGGCACAGAATCAGCCAACAGATGGCACATTCAGGGAATTGTGAAGAAGTCTGTGTGCCTGAAACATAGAGTTTGTGGAAACAGAAGAGAGACGTGAGGCTGAAGAAGTAGAAGTGTTTTCTGATGGGCTGACTTAAGACTTAGAAAATAATAACTGGGAATGGGGGTACTACAATGATTCTACACTTTAGTATCTGAACATAGCATATTGTTTGTAATTGTGTACAAGAAGCATTGGAGGAAGAAGTTTAATGTATATGTAATTGCTCTGTGTGCTCAGAAAAATGGGTGGTCTGGTTAATCAAATGACCTAGCTTGAATGAAGGCACTGATTACCAACTTCCAAATAATTAGAATAATTAAGATATATTACATATTCAGGCTGTCATTACTGCATATGAATATTCCTTTCACAATTCAAAAGTATGTTCAATACTTTAGAATGGTTCAGGCGTGAATGTCATTCGCCTATCATCAGTGTAAGTGTCATCCTGTGTAAGGACAAAGGTGATTGCCAATAAGGTCTGAGGAGGAGGTGAGTTTAGGGTTCTCCTATTTGAGAAAATCACTTGCATTTGAGAGTGTTTTTATACCTTCATGTACTGGGAAACCTCCTGACAGATTGAATTTGGGCCAGTGTAATAAATGAAGCACTACTCTAATTATGTTAATACAAACAAATAATCGAAATAAATCTCATCTCCCCATGTGATCTCACACACATCTGGTCTCGTGGTTGAAACTTGGCAAGTTAACTGTCATAAGAACCCTGAAAGGAAGACGGAATGAATTGGTGATTTTATCCCTAGGTCAGACCTCCATCTTTATTTCCCGGTTCCCACAGACCCATAAGCCCTTGAAAGAGCAAGCATGTTCTATTGTTAACATCTCTTCCTCCAGAGAAATCACATTAATGACTATAATTTCCTCCATGACTATTGGCTTTGACGTTTCATTAAATGCTTTAACATCCATTATTTTGTTTTGTTTTGTTTCTAAAGACCTGTTGAACACCTCGAACAGGAATCTTGTTTTGTTTTGCTTTCTCTCCTACATTTAACATGTCAGAAGCTAAAGCTTAAAAAAGGTAACTTTCTTTGCCCAAGGTCACATGACCTGAACTACAACTCATGCTTCTATCTTCAAGCTTGAATATCCTTCTTATAAGATCATAGTGCCTTGAGCACATTTCCTTAAATAGAATCATCCAAAGAGGGTAAATTGCACTGTTGGTCTTCAGGGAATCCTGACCAGTTTCCACAGCCTCCCAGTGAATACCCTTTGTATAAGATCATAGTACCTGGAGCACATTTCCTTACAATAGTGTTGTCCACAGACAGAAAATTGTACTATTGGTCCCCAGGAAGTTCTGACCAGTCTCCACAGCCTCCCAGTAATTTTCAGATTATCCACTGCCCATCTCCCTTCACCTTCTCTAATGTCCTGACCAGGTCATTAGACAGAGGTTGTTTAAAACTCAGCTTGCTTCCTTTCACCTTGACTTTGACTCGTCTTGCTCTCACCCGGTTTTTCCAGGTTCTGTCTTCTGGATCTACTTGGACTCCTCCTCTCTAGTAGCAGCCTGAAATATCATATCTCTTTTGGATGGCCTATTTGTCCTTAATTTGCTTCTTCTATCAGTATTGCTTTTTTTGATCGTTTCTAGGAAGACTATGGACTACACGTCATGAAATCAGTGATGTCTTAATTTTATGTTTGGTCCAGCACCATGCTCAGCATCTCAGCCTTCCAGTTACCTGTCAGAGAGATTTTATCACTGGGAAATAGGCATAAAGCCAACAGCCCCCAAGTAACATGGACAGGTACAGAGTTCTTCCACTCTATACCAGTAAAGGGGACAGCTGAACTCTCACTGCCTCTATTTTCTGCTTTATGAGACAGAAGCAAACAATAAGACTCATCATCCTCTAGGTCAGGACCAAGATGATCATTGTGGGGCAGGTCAGTCCAAAAGGCCTATTTACCCAAGGTAGACTGGGTGGATAGTACAAAAACTGAAACCCTAATCAAGAGGAAACCAAAGTCGTACCTATGAATACAGTGCAGAATGCCATGTCTACGGCTCCAGATGAGTTTTCAAGATGAAGCTTCTAAGGAATACGGGGTCCACTATGGCGGGAGTGAGATCTGCTGCTATAGGACCCAGGTAAGGGCAGGAGACATTTAAACAATAAGGAGCAACTTGCTTTTGGCTTTAGGATTAATTATAGGATACAGGCATGATATAGAGGGCAAAGACAACAAAATATACAGCTCTGAGTCGCCATCTGTAAGACCAAGACAGAAAACAGAGAAAAGAAACGTAGTACCTGAAAGAGGAAGTGGTAGGCAGTGGAAAGGAGGATGACAAAGAGTAGCAAAAACTCTGGTTTAATAAAACCAGGGCTCCACCCCTGTCCAGCCCATCTGTCTCTAATACTAGACTTATACAGTAGCCTTCGGCCACACTGAGCTGGTCACAGCTCCCCAGGTTCTCTGCTCTATCTTGCCTCCATGACTTTACATGCACTTTTCCTTCTGCTTCACGTGTTCCTGGTTGGTCCACTTCAAAAATTCCTAAGTATTGTTGCAAAAGTAATTGCGGTTTTGGACTGTGAATTTTAAATCATTATAACTAGGTTCAAACACATCTTTATTATCAAAATAGAAATTATTACAATCGACACATTTTTGCCAATGAGAAAGCGTGTTTATTCCGGTAGCATAAAAATCCATGCTTCAGGATTCGACGAACTCTTGGAAATCATTTCCTGAATCTTTCTGGTTGTGGAAGTGTTTTTTCTGCAAAAAGTGCTGAGATGCTTGAAGAAGTGGTAGCCGGTTGGTGAGAGGTCAGGTGAATTTGGCAGATGAGGCAAAAACTTCATAGCCCAATTCGTTAAACTTTTGAAGCATTGGTTGTGCCACATGCAGTGGGGTGCTGTCGTGGAGAAGAATTGCTTCCTTTCTGTTGACCAGTGCCAGCTGCAGGCATTGCAGTTTTCCATGCATCTAACTGTTTTGCTGAGTATACTTCTCAGATGTAATGGTTTTGCAGGGATTCAGAAAGCTGTAGTGGATCAGGTGGGCAGCAGACACAAAACAGTGACCACGACACTTTGGTAGTGAAAGTTTGGCTTTGGGAAGTGCTTTGGAGCTTTTTCGTGGTCCAGCCACTGAGCTGGTAGTGACTGGTGGTCTATAAAATCCACTTTTCATTGCACATCACAATCTGATCAAGAAATGGTTTATTGTTGTGTAGAATAAGAGAACACTTCAAAATGATGACTTTTTAAATTTTTGCTCAGCTCATAAGGAACACATTTATTGAGCTTTTTCACCTTTCCAATTTGCTTCAAATGCTCAACGATCACAGAATGGTCGACCTCGAGTTCTTCGGCAACTTCTTGGTAGTTGCAAGAGGATCAGCTTTGATGATTGCTCTCAATTGGTCCTTGACAACTTCAGATGGCCAGCCAGTACACTCATCTTCAAGGCTGGCGTTCCCCTTTGCAAAATTTCTTGTACCACCACTGCATTGTACGTTCATTAGCAATTCCTGGGCCAAATGCACTGTTGATGTTGCAAGTTGTCTCTACTGCTTTACAACCCATTTTGAACTTGAATAAGAAAATCGGTCAAATTTACTTTTTGTCTAATATAATTTCCATAGTCTGAAATAAATATAAACAGCAAGTAATAAGTCATTAGCCAAAAAAAATAAAGTGAGACATGTACATTAAAATGATGTAAAACATAACCACATTTATTTAAGAATGTATTCTAATATTATGCAAAAACCGCCGTTCTTTTTTTACCAACTTGCCAGGGCTTGGCTTCAGATAATTGTCTTTATAAGTCTCTCCTTGATGCCTTACTTACTAATTTATTTGAGTACTATGTTCCCAACACTATTCTAATTTCAGCCTCCCCTCAACCCTATGGTATACATGCTGCTGTTATTCCCTTTTGCAGTGGGGAAAATTGAGACACAGAAAGGTTAAGGAACATAATTTTTCAGAGGAGGATTCAGGATTCAAGCTTACGTAGCCAGCTCAAGGGTCTGTACTCTGAACTACACTACCCTGTGTGTTTCCTAAGGCACAGTGAATCCAGCCTCGCTGATGCCTTCAACTGTGCTTTGCACATATTACTATAATATCACTTACCACACCTCATGGAAAATATTTAAGTGGCTTTCTTACCCATTAAACTTGAAAGTTCTGGATCAGTGAGTCACTGGCAAGTTAATCACTGTTGTTCATAGCCTCATACTTGTTAACACCAGAAAATGTTCCCCTTGTATTTCTGATCTCAATCAATGACATAACCATTCTCTCAGAATCTAAGCCGGAAATGTGGGGATTATCCTAGGCTTTCTTCCTCCTTCTTGTCACAACCAAGTTCTGCCATTTCTTTCTCCTGAATTCCTCTCAAGTTTATCCTTGTCCCTCCGTCTCCACAA